CCTCGTTGTGTTAAAATGGTCAAGCTTCCTCGAGGCAGTTACACAGCGCTTACAACTGTCTCTGGAAGTGAAAGCACCAGAAAATAAATTAAGTCATACGTAGCTGTCATCCGTACGCAAGGAAGTAAGCAGAAGATGCCGAACACCCTTAGCAGGATGCAGCTCACCCTTCATGCGACTCGCCGAATACCTCACGGCGCTTCGCGCTTGGTGATGTGAGAGCCTGGTCCGGTGAGAACCCGGCGTGCTCCGTCCCGGCTTTGTAGGGATGCGAGGTCAATGGTCAAACGACTACGGCATGCACGACTATGAGTACACCCCCCCCCCCCCCCTCCTCAGGCGGTGGCTTGCTTCCGGATGGCTATCCGCACCGACAGACGGCACTACAACGCGTGGTATGGGCTCGGGTCGATCTACCACCGGCAGGAGAAGTACGACATGGCGGAGTACCACTTCCGAAGGGCCCTCAAGATCAACCCACAGTCCAGGTATGCATATGTACCCATGGTACTGCATTGGCATACCAACCCTCAGTGCAGGTAGTATATTATATGTTTCCCGCTCTCTCTTGTGTTTGTTTGTGTGTGTGTATTTTTTTAGTCGTCATCGGCCGGGTTCACCGGCTTGACCAATGGAAAGAAGGCGGTCTAAGATGAGCGGGACAAGGAAAGATCGCAAACGCGCTTTCCAGTCTGCGCGCTCCCCCAACAAAACGTCATTTTTTTTGCTTGTGTTCCGCCCGCATACCTCTCACTCTCGGTGCTCGCTTCATCTCCCTTCGTCCGCCGTATGTATTTTTTTTGGCTGTGGCAGCGTGCTGCGAGTATACCTGGGCATGGTCCTGCACGCCAACAAGCGGTACCTCGAAGCTCTGGACATGCTCGAGCTCGCCTCCAAGTCGGAGCCGAGAAACCCGCAGGTGCGTTTCCCCCCGCGTGCGTTGGTGCGCAGAAAGAAACAAACCCGCAAAGAGGAGGAAGAAGTATGCATAGAAGCAAAAAAGACTGAGAGGCGTCCCGGAAATCGAGTGTTTTATCCTCCGCTAGGTGTGTGCTGGAGTGTCTTATTCTCCGCCAGATGTATGCTTCATGTGTGCTGGATACGAAACTTAGAGGAAACACGCCGTGCGAACATGCGTAATCTCGTTGCCATTCTTCCGTCGGGATGTACGCGGAGCCCGCGAATTTCCCCCCGAAACAAGAGGCCATACATGTATGTCTTCCGTGAACACGCACACGGTGTTGGGTGGTGAAAGGTACAGCACCCATGACGAAACCGTACTGCAGTAGGAAAGCAACCATGTAGCGGGTCGCAACGAGATTGCCTAGTGTACAGAAATTGACAAGACGTCGACGACAAACCTACCGTGTGCTGCCTCGGTCCCGCTGTCTCGGCACACGCCGGCCCACCCGCCCGCCCGCCCGCCCGCCGCCTTGGTTGTGATTTACACCAGGCGTCCTTCCAACGAGCGAACGTGCTCATGTCGATGGAGCGGTACGCGGAGGCCCTCCGAGAGCTGGAGGTGGTGAGGGACAACGTCCCGAAGGAGAGCGCTGTCTACTTCCTCATGGGCAAGGTGTGGTGTGCAGAAGCGGCAGTATACAATACAGCTGCTGTGTTGCGGGGGCGGTGGCGGGGTCTGCTGCAGAGGTTAGGTGTGGGCCCGCCCTACGTAGCTGTGGAGGCATTTTGCGGGTGATTTGGTTTACACTTGTGGCGAGGCAAAGGTAAGCTATGTAGCTGTGTATCGTTACTCGCAGGTGTTGGGGTGCCAGAACACTTGCTTCCCCCAGTGGAGAAAACCGGGGACGAGTAAGTCTGCCGAGCGCTGATTCGCGAAAATGAAGCTCAGGTGGCAGCTGTACCCCTGCTAATCTTGTCTCGCCTAGCGTTATATTTTCGCGGTACACGCTTTCTTACCTCCCTCACTCTCGTCCTCCCCCCTCGGCGTTTGCCATCGGGATTGGGTTTTCGTCGCTTGGCAACGACGTTGTAAAACAAGCCAATTCACTTCGTGAACTCGGCAACCAGGTTACCGTTTTTTTTTTACCTCGTTTTTTTTTTTGGCGGTAACCATAATGGTGGCCGAGTAGATCATGTTGTGCGGGGTGGAGAAACCTCGCTCCGCGCAAGGGGGATGATCGCACCACGTTGTGTTAAAATGGTCGAGCATCCTCGAGGCATTTACACAGCAGTGCTTACAACTGTCTCTGGAAGTGAAAGCACCAGAAAATAAATTAAGTCATACGCAGCTGTCATCCGTACGCAAGGAAGTAAGCACAAGATGCCGAACACCCTGAGCAGAATGCAGCTCACCCTTCATGCGACTCGCCAATACCTCACGGCGCTTCGCGCTTGGTGATGTGAAAGCCTGGTCCGGTGAGAACCCGGCGTGCTCCGTCCCGGCTTTGTAGGGATGCGAGGTCAATGGTCTAACGACTACGGCATGCACGACTATGAGTACCCCCCCCCTCTCTCTCTCTCTCTCTTTCATTTTTCATGTCGCGTCATGTAGGTGTGCAAAAAGCTCGGTCAAACAGACGCGGCGATGAGGCATTTCACGATCGCTCTTGACCTCCACAACAAGGTGAGGTGTGAGGGGGGCCCAGCGGACGAGATTTTCGTTGCACGGGAGTTTTCAGCTGTGCGGCGTGTTGTCGTCCACTCTTTCCCTTTGGTGCGGTTTTTCTAAGATGCGCAACCCGGAAAACTGTTGTGCGCAGGCTACGGTCTCGTCTTCTTGTGCGTGTTTGTGTAGCACAGCCGTCGTGTTTTGATTGAGCGATCCTCTGCTGTTGGCATGTTTGTATCCGCGGCATGTGAGACCCATCAACGGTGGTGGCGTTGGTTCCGAGTTGGTGATTCTCTTTGTCACTTGGAAGTCGGGGTGCTGCACAACCCAGGTGTCACTGCGGCAGGCCTATTGATCGCCGTGTCGACCACCCATTTTATTCATGGCGAGCTTATCTGGTAGCGCAGGCACTGGATCTCCACGCCCTTTTGTGTCAATAACCTGCTTGTCCCACTCGATCCCTTTCGACATATTGCCGTGTTGCCAGTGGCCGAACAACCGTCATGACGATCGATGGCGACGCTCGCTTGCAATGCCTTCCCTACCGCCTCCCCATCCATGTGGGCACATCATGACGCCACTCCTCTCTCTTCTTAAACCTTCCGTACCGTCTTCCCATGGTTCGCTTTTGCCATGGATGTGTGTGTGTGTGTGTGTGTGTGTGTGCCTGTCAGGACAAGAACCTCATCAAGGCTGCCGTCGATAGGCTCAACGACCCGGATATGGACGAAGAGGAAAAGTTCTAGCCGGCCAGCCGCCTTGGCTGAACCACGGCGAAAGGTGTATGCGGGGTGCATGCATTTTTTCGGGTTGGCCGACGACCATCAAGGGCTCCGCTCTTTGTTGCTTCATCTGAGGCTTCCTGAAACGGCGTATGTATCCTCTGGCTATCAGCACGGTGCACTACTGCTGTGCAGACTTCTTCGTGCTCCCTGGGATTTTCCTCCTCTGTACACTGGTTGAACGGCCTGTGTTGCTCCCATCTCAAGCTTACCGGAAACGGCGTGTGATGTGGCCGGTACATTGCACGTCAGCACCTGTACTGAGTTTTCGCCCCCCGTTTGGAGTCTAGACTACTCCTCTGTGTAGTTGATTGGGTGTTGCTACTAGCAGGGGAGGTTGTTTTGTGCAATACCGGTGGTGTTTTGAGAGATTCGCGACCTCGCGCACAACTTTGACTTTTCCCTGTGTGTGGAGGAAAATGGGGCCAGATGTTTATTTATTTAGTCTCCCATCAAGAATCCATCTTTTGGACCACCGTTGTCCCGTCGTGTGCGTGAGCGGACGCACTCAAGCCCGAAAGCGGTGAGTGGCATGACGGGGCGAAGTGAGAAAGCCGAGCTAGACAGCAGCGACGCCGAAGCTTCGCACAGTTGGGTTAGGGGTGTGCATCCTTCTTCCGGCGAGAAAAACAAGGGACAAACAGAATTACAGCTGGTTCTTTCGTCGTCAACGTCCGGCAAACCTTCCTTGCCACTCGATTTGGCAGGTCTCAGTACGAGAAACTGATGTAGGACAACCGCGGTAGAGACTTAAGGCTGCTGTGCGCCAGACAGCTACAGCATCAAGCGTGTGCTTTATGTAGCATTGTTCCGGCCCTGGAAGATACCATGCGAATAGCGGTGCCATCGGCCAAGACAATTATTATCATCCTGCCCATGCGATTCGCCGAAAGGAACGAAAAGAGCCAGCGTGACGCGCATTCAAAATCTGAAATCGATGGGAGACGATGCAGTTGTACCTCAAGCAAGAAGCCGCTCACAAACCTACAGCAGCGCAGCAGCTGTCCTGGAACGCGTTGGTGGTACATGTCTATCTCCTGCAGGTAGGCTGCTACCCAACCCCGCTGTCGGCTTCCCTCTGTACTTTACTTGCAGAGGAGGAACGGTGATTTCTGAATTTGAAATATGAACGGCATTCGTTGGCGCTTGCATGAACGGTCAGTCTTTGTGTTTCTCTTGTAGGCGCAGAGCAGCGAGAGCGCACTACTATTGTATGAAGGTGATAACATGCCAGGACAGGATCGGCATCGATGCTTTGGTACTCCCCCTCTTGTCTCACCCGTAGGTTGGTGTGTGGAGTGTAAAATGGCGGCAACGGAGAGATCCTGAGCTACGACAACTCTCGAGCCTGGCCTGCCGCTGCATATACCAGCGAACACGCAAGAGGAGAAGCTCGATGGCAGTGCCAACGAGTTGAATCCCACGAGAATCATCGCAGCAGAATCACGAACACAGCACAAGGCAAGTACAACCCAAGGTGTAGTTCACACTGCAGTGGAGTGGAGGGTGGAGGGAAGATCGAGATCCGATGTCGAGATGGGCGGATCGACTTTAGGGAGCACACGGCTTGTATCTTGGGGTGTGCACAGTACCATCCACCGACCCCCCCGGGTACCCTCTCTCGGGCACCATCGCACCATTACACGTCGCGGCAACGAGAGGGGATTGGTTGGGCAAGTGGTGGCCAACCCTACCCGCTCCTGTCATGTCTTCCTCCAGGAGCAGTCGACTGCCAGCTCCGTCTGACGTTGACCCTGATATCGTGGTGAAATACCTCGAGAGATTGGGAGTTACTCCCGAGACGACAAGGGCAATCAGAGATGAGGTGCGTGCTGATTGCTGTGGTGTTGCCGCTGCCTTGCCTAAGGGATCGTGGGAGCCAAGGCTGCGTTGTGTCGTGGAGGTGCCCATTCTGTTGCGGTCGATCGCGCCACATCGATCTGGGTTATTTATTGACAAACAAACGGTTTAGTCTACACGAAAGACCGTGGTCCCTGTCGGTGTGTTGGGGCGAGCGGAGTGTCTCAAGCCCTTTCGGAACGATTGGTGTTTGCCGCCATGCCAACGCCAAAAGGCACCAGGTTCGACTTGGTTCGACCGCAAAATATCTACGTTCACAAGCATATAACGAACCTGAAGCGCACTCGTGTTCTTGCGTGTTTGTTTCAAGTAGAGATGCGGATCTTCGATGGGCGTAGTAGCAGGTGAACTCTCGGATACATGTAGTGAGTGTGTGCGGCGGTCAAACCGCGCCTTTCCCGATGGATTCCAACTGTCAGCTCCTGCGGCTGTACAATACACCGTATACCCCCCGTTGGCTGACCACGAGACATGCAGCGGTAGTCACCCCCAAGGCTGAGCTCGAAAGGGGGGCATTGTGCAATCATCCGCCACGAGCTGGCGCATCCCTCGCTTGGGCAAGCGCCACCCCGCCGCCGTCACCGACACTCCGGTATCCCGGAAGTTTTACCCATGGAAGTGAGGTTTTGTTTGAACTCTCCCGTCGTCGCCTGTATTGGTGTGAACGCGGCAAAGCTTGTACTTCTACTCGAGACTCGAAATCGCTCTTGTTTTTTGTCGTCAGCTGTAGACGAAACGGCGGCGTCAGCGGCGGGAAAGCGCGGGTCCCGCCGCATATCGTCATCTCGGTTGCTACAGTAGGCTTTCCCGAGGGGTGCCCTGAAACATGTCCCGGAATGAGAAAGAGGCAGGGCTGGGATGTAGTTGTGTACGGGTATTTGTTTGGGACATGAGAGGCGCAGCTGTTTGGCAAATGGCCGGTTTGGGCCTCTGCTTTTCGTAGTGGAGATCTCCCACCTTAACTGTGGAGGCCAAGGCACTCTTCTAGGCAACACCACTCCCCAATTGTTGTCGTCGTGAGGGATGGTTGTTGAATAGAGCCTCCCAACGCCAAAGGCATCACGCGCCCTACATTGAATCCTTCGGTTTGTATGTGTACCAGGCGTTTTAAGAAGATGATGGGGATCATATCTATGTAATCACCATACTCCAACGAGTGTCACGTCGTGTGTTCTACCTCGGGCTGTTCGGCTGTTCGGCCGCGCCCTGAAGAAGGCCTTCGAGGTGAAGACCAAGATTTTGTCCACTCGATAAAGCACGGCCGGATTGACTGGCCACGCCTCTGTTTCCACAGCCAACATTTTGACAACATCAACAACGACAACAATAGCAGCAGCAACAACAACCACAGCAACAGCGACAACAACAACAACAGCACCAACAGCACTAGCACCACCACGCCACCACCACCGCCACCACTAACAACCATCGAGAGTACCTCTGTCACCGCTATCAACCATCGAGAGTACCTCTGTCGGCAACTTGGGCGTTGTTTCATGCCCCCTCCGTGCCCCGTGCCACGAACTTCGCACAACACACGCCTCCATAGGTGGAGAGAAAAAAGCTGGAAGAAAAGAAGGCTCGGCTGCTGGCTGGAGGAGATGACGGCGAGGATGGGTCCCCCGGAGGGGGGGAGGGGGGGGATGACGTGCGGGCTTTCGCGAGACGGCAGGGCATGGACGCCGCCGTCCGAGATGGAGACAGTGTGATGGCCTGGGGTATACTCGAGGGCAGCCCAGAGAAGGTGAAGAAGGGTGTTCTGGAAAGGTTGCCGTTTTCTGGGCAGTAGTAGCCCTTCGCGAGGATGTTGTATAAACTTGGTTTTTTCATATTGGTGGTCTTGAAGCGCTGCTGTTCTGTGGGCATAGTAGTTGCCCTTTCGTGAGGATAGTTTATTGTTGTTGTCTTGAATTTAAAACCATTCCGATGTCGTTACCCAGTACCTTCATCTGTCCGTACTAGTCTATCACTTGACGCGGTCGATTCCCGTGGTCACAGGCTAACTTGCCCTAATAAAGATATACTCAAATATAATGGTAAGCTTGCTTTTAGTACAGGGGTTACGGGTGTGGGTCGGGGTTAGGGTTGGGAACCCCCCCTCTCTATTTCATGTATCCTTGCGAAGGTGATCCCTACTGGGGGAGTTTGTATGCCGCTGTTTTAAGTACACACCGCTCTGTTGGGAATTGTAGGGACCACTTGGGATATCAACTTTTTTATCTTCGAATGGTCCTAGCAGTGTTTTCAAACTTCGGCTGCACCATAATCCGGTGTCGCCTTCGGCCGTGCCAACGTCCAGACATCGACAGCGTCGTATGTCCCATTTTCGGGTCATGGTATCGTTGGTATGTCGATCGTTGGACGGCATGGATCCCCGCTCTGGATTAGCCTATTTTTTTTCCACCTGCCTAAGCGGGGAGAGGGATTTCTTCCGACTGCTACCCGGTCCGTTCTCTCTCTCTGTCTCTTTTCTACAACGCCCCACTCTCCTTCCGTTAAGTCTCAAACAGAGGAGAGAGAAGACTGGCCGCCCCCCGATGTTGGGTCAATGCTAATGCTAACAACACACGACTGACCGGGTCTCCTGCCAACGAGGGTACTGCTGCAGCCTGTGTCTGTGTCCTGTTGTGAGAAGCAGCAGCACTGCCGTCATCGCTCAAGCCGATTCCAACTCCAAGTCACATATACCATTCACAAAAAGCACTTGCAAGAACGACAACCTGGTCTCGTCGAACGCGCGTAGCTAGAGCTGATGCTACACCACAAACGAGCTAAGAAAACTTGACGCTTCTTCTAAGCTGATAACACCACCAATGTGAGTCCACAGGTGGAGCAAGCGTACCGGGGCCTGAGCGAGTTCGTGGCGGCCTCGTGGGAGCTTTACAGGCCGGAGCTCGAGGCGGTCATGTTCCCCGTGTTCGTGCACTGCTACCTCACGCTCGTCATGTTCGATCACGGAGCCGAGGTGCGACGCGGATGGAAATCTGGGGGGGCGGGGGGGGGTACTCATATAACTCATGCCGTAGTCGGCATACCACTATTTACCTCGCATTTTGCCGGATACGCTGGGCTACGTTTGACAAGGATGGACCAGAAGCTGGTAGTGTCATCAGCCTTGCGTTTGCTGTGTGGGGTGGGGGTACGTATCTGACTTGCTTACGAGTGATTGGGTTCGCACGTGAGTTGTTCGCCACCTTTCTCAGATGCCGCAGTACGGGCACGTGCCTTCCACAACAGTGCTCACTAGAATCGCTAGCTCCTCCATTTTGAAAGTGCGTGCGCTTCGCAGCCGGCAGGTAGTGGCGATGTCACCAGCGTCACGGGTAGCCCTGATGAGTAAGAATCGAGAAAAGGTCGCGAGTCAAGCTCACAGCTGATCTTTTTCGTCCTTTTATCATTTGATAAGGGTGTGTGCGTCAAGAAGAGGAAATCCCGTATCGTGTGGGGGCTGAATCTCGTATTTACAAGCTCCTAGTGTTGTGTCAAAGGCGTTCTCATGCGCAAAGGCCGTGTTTTCGTTTCTTTAGAGAGAGAGAGAGAGAGAGAGAGAGAGAGAGGGAGAGAGAGAGGGAGAGAGAGAGAGAGCTGGCCCGTGCACCCCCCCCCCCCCCCCTCACGGAAACAGAATAAGGGTCTTCTTGAATCCCTCACCCCTCCCCGAACAACGAACGGGCACTCCGCTTCCCGATCGTGCACAACAAGAGGCCTGATTTTTGCGACGGCCCACATGCGTGTTTTTGTTTTGTTTTGTGTGTGTTTGCGAAACGCAGGCTAGAGGCTTGATGCGAGCGTGGGGGGGTGAGCATGAGGAGAGGTTCAAGGACGAGATGACGCTGCTCAAGATGGTCACGGCTAGGGAGCACGCCGAAGCCTCGGACTACTGCAAGCTGGTGAAGTACTTCTAATGTCGCTGGCAACGTAGATGTACCTGTTATATGCTCCTGCGCAAATGTTGGGGCCGTGTGTACTACGACGGTGGAGTTGCTCGTGATGGGAATATGGTTTGCTTGCTTTGTGCAACTGGATATGTGTGTGTGTGTCGGTCGAATCCGGACGTGCGGGGAGCGCGCAAGACTCAAAGACAACTGAAAATCTCAACAGCAGCATTGCATGTACCTGTAAGACGAGTAATCGGAGCCTTGAGAGCTTGGGTAACAACATCAGAGCCGGCGGCGGCAACGACGCTCAATCATGTATCGACCACAACGACACTACCAATGGCAGCAACAATGCCGACGACACCAACAAACGCTATCCAAGGTATCACCTACAAGGGCGACGACACCCGCAAAACAATGTCCCCCCCCAAAAAACACGGAACACACCGCACAGGTTCTCACGCACAAGTTCCGAGTGAAGATCTGCCTGGCGACGTCAAAGCTCCTCAACGCCTTCCTGGTGAACAAGGGGCTCCTTCTGGTCATGCACATCCTCAACACCCGGGTGCAGTTCGTGCTGGAGGAGCGGTCCCCTCTGCCTTTCGCGCAGGCAAGCCAAGACCGACGAGCCTTGACGAAAGTATTCATTTGATCGACTCAATCACAGATATTTCTTGGCGCCATTTTCGCACTCTGAAATGCGTCTCTAAATTGTATTATCGGCTCCTCACGGTCGGTGCTCCCGCTGTCGCCGGCACCTCGACTGCCGCCGCCGGAGGCATCGTTGCCGAAACGCAGAAAAAACTAACCGTTGGAGATAGTACATACGCAACCTCAATGGGAAGGACTTTTTGAAGTCTTTGCGGCAAGGTATGTTGCGTGCGAGGAGAAGCTTGTGCGTAACTCAAGGGCTGGACCTGAGAAAAAAGACCTGTTTTTTTCTGTATTTTCCCCTTGCGTGCAGTCAAAGCTTAAGGGTTTACTTGCGGGGAAAGCGGACATGTGCTCTATTCGCTGTTACTGCTGCCCTTGTAGTAGCGATCCCCGGTGTCCTGCGTTGTATGGGCGAGCCTGGAGGAATCTTCGTACACGGAACAAGAAGGCTTTTTTTACCTCGATCGAGAGCTTGTACGTGGAAAAGGGGAGACAATATAACATGTAACGCATACTTTCACCTCGAACGGTGTTGTTTTTTGACGTCGTGGGAGACCCTTGCCCCCCTACAGCAGTAGAGTGCCGTCGAATCCGTCTAGGAAAACAGAGGGGCCGCGTTGAGATAGGGGGTGTTTGCCTTTGTGGTCCCCTCTGCCGCTGCGATACACGGACAGAACAGATCGGTACCCTCAATTTTCTGTTGTCGTCAGGTGTGTGTTGTCGTTGCTACCGCTGCTCACAACCTTTTTGTTCTCGAAGCTGGTGTCTACCGTTGTTGCCGCCGCCGCCGCCGCCGCCGCCGCCCTGTTCGCCCTGTTCGCCACACCATACACGAAAATCGTGCACACACACGAAGCGCTTTCTGTTTTCAGCCGCACTGGGACCGGCGTCTTTTCGTTCCATTGGTTACCCGGTTAACGCGGGCGATGCTAACAACAAACCATACGCACGCAAACGCACACAGGTTGTGCGATGCGGACCAGACGATGCCTTTCCGGCCGCCCTCAGACCTCGCTCGTCCGACGACGACAAGAGCAAAGAGGAGTCTGGAGCGGCACGCGATACGCCGCCATCGAAGGCGACTAAGGAGCCTGCCGCCCCCGCCACCACCGCTGGGAGGGGCGGAGGCCGCGGGGTACAGGAGGAGGACCTCAAGTGGGCCGCCGCACCTCCGATGGAAGTGGCGCTGATGAAACAAACGGAGCGGGACGTAAGTGTTTGCATTGGTTTTTGTCTCTCGAAGTGTTGGGTTGGCTACCGGGTGGTGGTGGGGGGGGGAGGGAGCTGCTGTAGTATTAATAGCATGGAAGTGTGATTTGCTTCGATTTCATGTTGCTTGGGCTGTCTAGACACGCCTCATCTCACGATTACCGCTTCTTTCTTTCTGCTTTCTCTCTCTCTCTCTCTCTCTCTCTCTCTCTCTCTCTCTCTCTCTCTCTCTCTCTCTCTCTCTCTCCCTCTCTCTCTCTCTCTCTCTTTGTTTCTCGACCTTCTTCTCCCCACCCTCCATCCACAACGGTCCACACAATACCACCCCCATCGCTTCCCACAGGCGGCCGCGTCCGGCCTGTACTACCCACTCAGCCTCGAGCCAAAGGCGATGAAGATGAAAACCGACCCCCCCACGACAACAACAGCAGCGGCACCATCGCGGCCCACCGCCACTTCACCGGGAACAAATGGGACGGCCACCTCCCCCCCCGCCGTCGCAACAGG